CTCCATAATCAGTTCTTCTTTAATCAACCAGTGCTCCGTGAATAAATGACTGGATGAACTGAAGAATAAAATAATGAATAAGTTAAATGTTATGAAAAGCTACATGCGCTATTATTATGCAGTCATTTGTGAATCCATTTTACGGGATATAGCGGATTGTTCAATCTCTGGATTCTAATCCGGTACCTTCAGGGTTCGAAGTCGCTAGTACAGCTACTGCGACACATGCGAGCATTCGCTTTATCGTTCACTGTTCTCCGAGTTATAAAATTAGGTTTCTCTAACATTTATTCCATAGAACAGCAGGCAGTATGGCAAATTGCTTACCCTACAACTTGCAAATTCAAGACGTATGCAAAGAAGCCAACTCATTTGATGGCAAGTTGAGTCATCAGTGAATTTGCGGAGCGACTCCAACCGTAAACAAATGATTAAATAGCTCAGTTTTCTGTTCTGAACTCATTTTCGTAAGTAAATAAGAATTCATCTTAATGAAATCATAAAATTCGAATGTTTGTGCTATAAACACGGTATTAATTTATTCACAGTCAAATCCAGATTCACTCTGTTATATGAAACTTGAATATCAACCTAGTTTGAAAAGCACCGTGGAACATCGGTCAAAACGACGGTGTAAAATGTAAGCCGTGTTTCATGCTTATGTTACACCAACGATTTGATCACCAACGCAAGAACGAACTATTCATTCATCTATTCACATTCTATAACTGTTTCTTCTTTCGAACCTCGGAGGCAGACAGTGCATACGATGTTCTCGTTCCTGAGCTTCTGCAGAAGACAAACAGAGCTTAGAGCAGATTTCTCCCATATATTTGCACTAAGTTAATCTTGGCCTTCCGCCGGCAGCTAAACAAGAAGGAGTTGCTTCGGCTTCCTTTCTGGAGGAATATGCAACAGATGCTCAAGTTATGGCAGTCGTGACTTCTCAATCTGAAGGAGCAACGGGTTGTAGTCTAATTCTTTTTTGAATCTCTCTACTCCGGGCAGTGTCGAGGCATGTAACTCCAGCGAAAGAGACTGGTATCACAAAGTCCATTCCAGCCGCTTGTACCAGGAATCGAAGTTTCTCAGTCATAGCTCACGACTCATAGCCATAGGCAGGCATGTGGATGAAGATCCACCTGAACAATGAGAGCTTAGTTTTCACACTCAACTCTAGTTTAGTCATAACGGTTCGGGAGAGTTCACGAAAAACGTGACTCCATTCTCCGGTCGACCTCGATTTCAAACTTTTTATCACCAGATCGGTAGATTAGTTTTCGAAGATGCCATTAAAATAAGGTCGTCTGCAAGGAGCAATCTTCTCGTCTCCACATCTCCTACACCAATTCACTCATTGTTTTGGCTGCGCCTGACTATTCCATTCATGTACAACACAAATAGAAGAGGTGACAGAATACAGCCGTTCCGGAGACCAGTGCCAATGCTGAAAAGTTTCGATTTCGATTTAACGCCATTTGTTCTGATGAAGCACCTGCTATCAGCATATGATGATTGGATGAAACGCAGCAACTGGTAGTATATCTCATGTGTTTGCAGAGAGGCCCATAGATTGTTGTGTATGATCCTGTCATGCGCTTTCTGTTGGTCAACAAAGGTCATATAGACAGAATGAGCAAACTTCATTGATTTCTCAACAATCTGGCGTTCTCGGAATAATTGGAGCACTTCTTACGGTCTCCCTTCTTGAACAAAGAGTACCAGAATCTTTGTCCTTCAGTCCGCTGGGGTCTTTCCGTAGCCGTTGCGATTTGACAGGTAAGTGTAATTCAGAATGTGCGTTGTTCGCCTGTTGTTTTGAACATTTCAATGCGGATTTCATCGATTCCAAAAACCTTCCACATTTCAAGCTTTTCACAGCTTGTGTGATTTCATCTGCAGAAATAGCAGTTTCCATTTCCTGCTGCTCTACAGGGAAGTCTTCCTGAGGTTGCTCGTGATTAAAGGTTTCTCAAAGTGCTCCCCTCTATCGCTGAAGAAATGAATTGCCCTCTTTTCTGTTGTATGAACAATTTGCACACTTGTACTGGTACACTTGCGCTTTACTAAGCAATGGAATTACGTAGGTTGTGTTGAATATTTATGACATCTTTGAGCTACGATAATTTGCGTCATTCGTTCCGGTGTGGTGTGTTGTGCAATTTGACCGATTTTTTATGCTTAATTGTTTTTTTGAGCTTTTCATAAAAATGATTTCCAAGTTAATAATACTGTATTTTTTATACATTTCTGGTCGTTCCATGAATGAGACAGTCCCTTTGCGTTGGTCATTTCCCATTTTCCGCATACGTCGTTGTTTCCAAAACGATTCAATGATGATAGAAGCTTTTTCGAACGCCGTTCGTCGCTGTCTTTCCGGATGTGGTGATTTTCTGAACTTTGATCTCTAGTAAACTTAGTTGTTGATTCCTTATTCTCGTTGATACGCGCAGAAAAAGTGGAAAGCTTGATGACCGACAATTGGATAGTGAGTGTCGCTTATGTATTGTAGCTAGTATCTTTCTCTGCTCTTTTCCTGTCCTTGCTTACCGGACTTGGGTCAGATCGATCTCAGATTGCTTCGACAGAAGCGTTTTCAAGTGACTGGTTTACTTTTGATGAAGAAGGCAGCTGTCGTCACGCTGTTCTCTTGAGTTATGCACAGGTTGCCTGTTATGAATCGGCAACGGTGATGAAAGGAGGTAGTTGTAGTCATTGGATGATGCATATCGTCATTCCATTAAAAAAGATTTATTTAGAAGAATGATGCAATGACCAAAAATTTGTACCGAGGTTACGATTCTTGTCTAAGCTGTATTTATGCTGTGTTTATTTTGAACCTTGTCATCAAGTAAATTGATGGGGCACTCGCATCTGACGTTGTGGCAAAGCTCTTTTTTCTTCCTTTATAAATCCGCACGTACTCAAGGTTCATATCACCTTCAACAAGTAGAATTTGCAGTTGACCATAGTAAATTACATATCGTGTGTCCGCGGAGCCGCGTCGGAGACGTCTTTGGTCGTCGCCTGGTGTTTTCTGGCAAACAGCTTTTGCCTTTCTTTAGGTGTAAATTCCGTCCGTTTAAGAACGGTTGTCGCTTTTGTATTGATAAAGGTTTTTTCTTTATTCCTGATAAAATCTTTATGTCGAATCCAAGGTATGTGGACAAAATCTAACAGGAGATTAGCCAGACAAAGTCTGCTATCCCTCTGATTAATTCTCGACCTAATAGGTGCAGCAGTAATATCTAACGAATTTAATAACAACGATAACTGTTCTCAGTGCTCTTGATTTTATTTGTTTTTATACCCAGTTGACACCTGGTTCTGATTATTACTCAGCAGATCAGATGGATCAAGCTGAAATGCGTCACAAGGTCGAGACGTCAGGCATTACTGTGTGGGCCTCGCGCGCTCTAGTTTAGCCTCATTAGAGAACCTCGCTGTTTGAGTTGACACATCTGATGGTTGAATTCCAGTGCGATAGTCAGCACAGAAGGTATAAAATCAAACTTACGAATCAAGGAATTATCTTGCTAGAATTTTTTTATTTTTTACGTTAATTTACGGGTTACACCTTGTGTTGAGTTCATTATCTGTCAAGACGAGTTGTAACCGTAAATGTTGGCATCTGGCACCATAACCGTTCTATTTGTTTTGCTATAGTTACCTGAGGTTAACAGGCGTAAACAGTAGAGTAACCTAAGTTGATAGCCTGACGGATAGAAACGGTACCTCTGGCAGCACTGCCATGACTCGTCTAAGCACCATGCTGTTCGTATCTTAGCGGTCCACTGGCTTACTATCTGTTTCTCAGGTTTTTC